TCCTGGCGCTTTATAAGGTTTAAAGGAGAAGACTGCCTGTTTAATTTCCTGGAGGTTTGGTTCTAAGCTCAGTGTAGGGTGGTCCCAACTACTAAGAGTAGTATAGTAGGACATTGGAGTTTGGTTAGTTATGGAGGAAGTATGACTTGTTTTAAAGAGATTGTGGAAGAATTCAGTAATTAAAGGAATAATCTCCTTTTGGTCGTAGAACCAATTACCCCCCCTCAACTCTTAAGCTAAGGAATCTATTTTTTCTTCTACGTTATATTGTGGTAATGTGGAAGAACTTTGTGTTTGCGACTCCCTCATTTAGCCATTGTACTCTTTACTTGAGTTTCCAGAATTTCTCTTCTAGTTTTAAAAGTCCATTAAGGTCTTCTGTTAGGGTTGATTCCAGGTCTCTTAGAAATTGACTAGTAGTATATTTAGGGGATTTTTGTATCCCATTGATCCTAGCCAGGGTAACATTTTTTCTATGGAAGATATTCCCAAATGTAGTTATGTTCCAGTTTTTACTTCTTTTGTGAAGTTTTCAATAGCAGTTAGAATAGAGTCATTGACGTTCAAATTGGCTTCCACTAGAGGTTTAAAGGACGGGTGGGACAACCACATTGATTCTATTCTAAAGACTTTATTTTCACGGGGCATACTTCTTCTTAATTCAAGTTTTATAGGGCAGTGATCCGAGTAAACCCTGGTTAAGTGAGTTACTTGGGCTTCAGGGTATATATTAATCCAGTTGGTGTTTGCCATATATCTATCTAACCTTTCTATTATTATTAACTTAGATTTTTTCCTTTTATTTGACCAGGTGTACTTTGGACCTTTAAACCCTAGGTCTAGGAGTTCACAGTAGTCAATACAGTTTATGAAGTTGGAAACCTTATTATTATTGACTGGTAATCCACCAAAATTTTCATTTGCCCCTGTCACTTCATTAAAGTCCCCCGCGATTAACCAGGGGCCTTTAAAGGAGTTTGCTACTATTTTTAGGTTATTCCATAAGATACTTTTTTCCTCTAATAAACAGCTAGCATAAATTACTGATAAAAGCCATTGGTGTAGGGAATCTTTTACCTTTACCATGATGCGAATTTCCTACTCAATGCTAGCTTATTGATCCACTGTCACCTCTGTTTCATTCCACATCATAACCATTCCACCTGAGTTGCCCTAAGCTGCAACTTGGGTCATTTTTGTAAACCCAAAGTCCTCCATTATAGCTTGGTGTTCCGCTAACTTTGTTTCCAGTAAGGCCACCAGAAAGGGTCTGTTATAGTCTAACATTGATCTAAATATCCTCCTGAACTCCTCATTACCCGCTCCCCTGCAATTTCAGATTATGACACTCATTGATCTATTTAGGGTTTGGGATGTATCTACCTGTGTCTATCGTGAAGTCTCTTGATGTGGACTCCCCCATGCCATGTTGACTTGGTTCATCCAGTGGTGCTCGTACAAGGTTGGGATTATTTCTGTCCCATACTTGTAAATTCCCGGGGGGCTTTGAAGAATTCTTATATTGATCGAGAATTTCCTCAAGTCGTGCGGGCAGCGTAAGATGTATCATTTTTCTCTTCTTTCCTTGAACACCAGCGTCTTTGGGTCCCTTATCATGCCGTACTCCACTCGTCTTGCTATCGATGATCCTTCCTCGTCTTCCCCCTCGTCCGTCTGTGTTTGAGCAAGTGCATGGGAATTGTTTGGTACCGTTACTGTAGCTATCCTCAACTCCTTCGTTACTATTTGAGCAAGGTAGCTCGGATTTTCCAGCTGAATCGTGATGTCTCGCCCTTCCAACTAGAGGTTCAGATTGAGGGAGAAACATGTCAGCCCGTACTCCAGCCATGACTGTGGAGCATGATTCATTGGTAATGGTGGTGTTGTGCAGATTATTGGCTCCGGTGGGTTCATGGGTGGGTAAGGTGCATGGTGTGGTATTCTTGGTTGTTGTCTCATCCAAACATTTCTCCTGTTTCTGTTGTGCCTGCGTTGGTAGTTGGTCTGATGAAATCTGGCCATGGTGTTGTTCGTTGAGCTTTGGCAATAAGGGAGTTGTATTTTTGGATGGTGAGAGCTTGTTGGAGTTGGAAGATAAAGAAGTTGATTTGTTGAACATTGGTGTAATGTACAAGGTTGATGGGACTTGATTATCAGCTTTTTGGTTTGATTTTTGTTTTGAGAGGATTTCTTCAATGGTTTTTGTTGGAGTGATTTATGACAGAAAGTAGTTTGAGGTAGGTTTTTTTTTGTGTGTGGATGTAGGAGACCTAGTTGTAGGATGATTGTAATCAACATTAAATGTTGACGAGGCTTTGTCTAAAGTGGGATTATGGTCTATGTCCATCAGATTGTACCTGTTTGTTAAGCTTAGGACTTTGCCTTCAGCATGCTCTTTTGTTTCTTGGTTCTTTAGTTGTTGTCCGCTGGTTTTAGAGGTAGAGTCTGCCTTTTTTTTGTTGCAGAGTATGTGGGTTCTAGGGTAGTGAATTGGGGCATTAATTGTGATGTGGAGGGGTTTGACAAAGGAGGGGTAAGGGGTTGTCCAATGTACTTTTGTACAAAGGGGCTTTAGTGCTGGTGCAATAGCTAAGTTTTCCTACGTTTTTTTTGATCATTTTCGTTGGGTAAGTTCCTAGGGTTGACTAGTGTTTCAACAATGTGGACTAGGTTATGTTTTTGGTTGGGGGGAAAGGTATTGACCGCAGGGTTAAGCACGTTGTTGTCCTTGGGCAAAGGAGCATGTTGTGAACGTTGGAAGTTTTCCAGATTTGGTTCCTCATTTCTGGTTTCCTCGTTTCTGGTTCTTGTGGTTCCAGTTGGCCCGATTTTGTTTGAGGCAGTGGTATCATTTAGGTTAGAACTAGTCCAGGTTTGAGTTTTTTTTGGTTTTCTTTGGTGTGTCACAATTGTCCAGTGGTCTATTTCTTTGGTTGGGGTTTCAACCTCCATGGACCTACTATTGTTAGTATCATTGCTTGGTTTTGAGGTAGATGTTGCATTGGGGCAGTTATTTGAATTGTGCCCTAGCCGTCCACAAGACTCGCATAACAGGTTAAAACTTTCGTAGGCTGTTTTTTGGTACTGATTTCCTATGATGATATGTGTTTTAAGGGGTTTCTCAATAGGTGTTAGTATACATAATCTTGCATATTTACCTCTAGTGGCTGAGGTGGTGCACGTGTCGATCCTAATAAGTTTTCCTAGTTTGTTTCCTATTTTGTGAAGAATCTCATAGTCGTAGAACTTCGTTGGGAGCTCTGGTAATCTGGCCTAGTCTGCTGAGAAGGTTAGTGATGCTGTTGAGGCGATGAATCTGGGCTCCCATTTCCTTACAGTGAGGAAATAGTAATAGTAAGATATAACCACCTAACAAGCTATTTCAAAACTATACAATTTTTCACTAGTATAATCTGTTTCTCTTATCATACTAAGCGCTAGTTTTTTGAAGAATAAAATCCAAATTCAGCCTCTTCAAACACCATCATGACAGTGCTTCCTATGAATTAAGAAGTGGTTTAATATGGTTTAATATGTTGTTGATTTGTAATTTTAGTCTTACTAGAATAAAATTAAGTATAAATCGAGCACGAAACTCACAACATGTGGGAACACTTATGAAAATTTTAAGAAAATAAACTTGAATGTACAATATCTAAAATTGAAAAGAAGCACTAGGGGCCAACATTGAAGGGTCTCTGAAAGTTTTCCTTTAATTAATCGACTGTAGCCTGTTTTCTTTCACGCCATTGGATGTAGTTCTAATTTAGTTTTTGTAATTAAGTTTTTCAAGTATTCAATAAAGGGTATTCTTAAGCAGATTTTTTTTTCGTTTTAGGAGAACAATTATTTGTTTTAAAAAGAATGTCAAACCTCCATGGTATAATATTACGTTGTAAATGATTTTTCCAAATAAGTACTTACTTTTAATGTAAGGAAAATGGTCAAATTTATCCATGTGTTATTTTGTGAATAAACTTTACTCTAATATTACTCGCGCCATTAGAAAAAAATATTTTTTTTTCCATGACCCCCTAACAGAGCTCCAAAGTGAGATATAGTCAGACTTATGATAGCATTCCTATATAACAATCTTTCACTATAAAAGCTAAATTTTTTTATATTCAATTTTTATATTATGTTATAATATATATTTTCTATAATAACACTTCATTACAGGAGCCAAAAGATATTGGAATGAAGGAGGATGTTATAGAGAGACTTGACTGTAGTTATAAACCATAAGCAACATTGAAGGTGTAAATTCGGACATTTTTCTCAAAAAAATTGGTCACATGAAAATTACCTATTTTATGCTGGAGCGGCTAGGGGTGTTCAAACCGAACCGGAAAACCGCACCAAATCGAAAAACCAAACCAAACCGATTAAAAAATCCGACTAGGTTTGGTTTGACTTGGTTTGGTATTGAATAAAAAAACCCGAACCAAACCGACATATAAATATATAAATTTTATTTATATTTTAAGACTTTATAGTGAATTTTCTTTAGAAAATGTAGAAATATTTGGGGTACTCTCATGTATTAACCTTGAAAGCGTAAATTAACAAAAAATTATTGTTAGACGACTACGAAAATAACTATCATGTGTTACTAAAAAAATTCTCCCATTAGAATATTTTAATAGATCATATGTTTGTCAATTTTTTTCCATATTTACTAAACATATATTCACTTATCAAAACTTTATCTATAATTTTAACAAAGTAAGATTGAAATAATATTCATGTAACAAAAAAAACCCAAAAACCCGAAAAATCCGACAAAACCGAACCAATCCAAACCGATATAGTTGATTTAGTTTGGTTTTGATAAAAACCGAACCAACCCGGTCCATGTACACCCTCACTAGAGCCTGAAGCTTCACTAAAGGCAAAGGCAAATACCACACAATTTCCCTCGTCCCATGAACCAAACGACCCCTTAAATATACAAAAAGTATGCTACTTTAGAAATCAATAACTTAAAATAACCCGGCTGCCGGTTCATTTCCGGGCCTGGCTCGGTTTTCCGGTTTGGGATGTGTGGAAACTTGAACCGTCTGTAAAATCATTAATTCTTCAGTTCAGAAAACACTAGGGAGACGAAAATGGCAGCTACAGGAAAATGCTTCCTCGTCACTGGCTCTCCTGTATACTCTTATCTCCCATTTTTGTTACTTTGTATAAAATCTGAAATTTACAGTCATTTTTTTTTTGCAGGGTGTTGGAAAGACAACTTTGATAGTTAGAGTACTCGAAACCCTCAGAAATTCCAATCCTAATTTGAAATTTCAGGGTTTCTATACTCGTATGTCTCTCTCTCTCTCTTCATTTGTTCCTGTTTATAATATTAGCTGTGTATATATTCTCAATATCTTTAATTATACTATTTGGAGTGTCTAATTTACAAATATATACTATGATTGAATAACTCTTGAGTTGTTGATTTAAATTTGGTGAAGGGGAGATTAGAGAAGGAACGGAGAGGGTTGGGTTTGAGGTCGTGACGCTCGATGGCCGTAAAGGGCTTCTTGCTTCTAACAAAATCTCCAGGTGCTTCTGATTTCTTCTTAATTACTAAGTAATTTCTATACACATGCATACGCGGCTTATCTGTTTGTTTTGGTGTTTTATCTAAGTAATTTATGCTGAAGTTGTCAAGTCTTAGCTCTGTGTTCTCATCTCTGGTCTTCTATATTTTTCATCTCCAATTCTGTATCAGTCTAATTCTCATCCCCTTTCTTCTTAGATTTATGTTGCTCTATCCTTACTATCGTTAGCATCTACATTGTAATCACAATTACTGTTGAGTTAATATAATCAGTTGGTTGGGTGTAATATCGGGTTTGTTACAATTGGTAAATAATTATTGTCTTTGTATAAGCTCAATAGATAATAGATTTTTTCTTGAGTAAAACATTTTGCAAAAAAAAGAAAAAAAGGATGATACGTGGTAGATGTGCTTATAAAAGCTATGTTTTGTTGCTTAAAGCGATGAACTGATGCGAAATTAGGGGCTATCACTTCATGCCGAAACCATGCATTCAGAGAAGCGCCGTGATTCCAATAAATTGTGCGCTTCACTTATCATTTTTTCACTTCAAGCCTTGTGGACCTTGTCACTTTTTTGGGCTCGTCGCTTTTAAAAACAATGCAAGGTAGATATATAAGTGCTGGTTGTTGAACCAAGTGTGGTTGTTAGGTGAAGAAGGGTGGACAAGTTTGGCGTAATCCTTGAGTTGCTGAAGCAACAAATTTCTAGGTCAAAAGGAAAAGAGTAAAAGAAAGAAAAGAAAGGGAAAATGTAGAAGTGCTTGTGGAAAGTATAATAGTAGAAGGTTGCCATTGCAGGTCATGAATTGAGATGGACCACTGTAATGACAAGTAGACAATGAAAGATTCTGGTTTATTGGCTTGGTGAAATTGGGGCTTCTTGGTAACAAACTGCTTGTTGAACCCTCCTCTAAACTCATAACTCCAATGGCATTCAGGCTAGAGATTGGACATAAAAGCATGTTTAAACCAGTTGGGACATTTCAAAGCAATATGGTTAAAATAGAAAGAGAATTTGTACTGTTTAGAGAGGTTGAAGTATGAACAGCCAAGAACACCATCGCCACAAGTTTGAAAATTTTCTTGCAAACCAAATCAATGGCTAAGAAAAGGGATAAGAAGCATTAGGAGAATATTGCCAATGATCCCAACCTTTATAGTGGCCCTTGTTATTTTTTCCTTGACCTGTCCACCATTTGAACCTTGGATGACGGAATGTTAGAAGAAGTTTTGAGAGGACATAGAAGGTCCATTTTGTGTCAGCGTATACTGCTAATAAGCTGTTTGAGGAGTGAAGTAATCCTAGGTAGCTGTATTGATATGTGCTTCCTCAGTTAAGAATACGGGCTGCGAGATTATGAATGATGGCACTGACCAGTGGCATTAAGCCTGGAAACAGAAGTGTGACCAGAGAGGGGTGATCCTTGGATGGTTTGAGTCACAACATTTTCGTTGACAGGTTTTCAATCCTTTGGAGGTTTCACAAGGTTGTCAAGAACAAGGGGTGAGCGACTAGTATTAATCCAGTTAAGGGTGACAGTGCTTTATTGAATCCATAAAGAATACTCATCGTGAGTGGGTGATGGACATGGAATGGAACCATCCACCAAGAAGATGAAGTATTGATTTTTAGCATAGTGGAGAAAGAAGAGGTAGCCTTTTTAGTATAGTGAGGAAACCTTCCCGGTGAGGTAATTTGTGTAGGTAAATTCAATTGGTAGAACTCTTCTGATGTTGGAATAGTTGTGCAGAAGATCAATAGAAGATTGAGGGGGAGTGAACTGAGTAGAGGAAGTCTAACGAGACCTTGGTTTTGATATCAAGTTGAGACTATGAAACATAATGTTTCTAGTACTTTCTTATGATGACGTAATAATTTAGTGATGTCCCTCTCGAAAAGAGTACCCCCTCCCTTCCATTTTATGTGAACCGAAGTTTAAGAAAAAATGAATACTTTTAAAACTTGTGCTCCTAAAAAGACATAGCATTTGTGTGACAATTACTCTTTTAAAACTTGTGGTGTTAAACATGACAAAGTATTTGTGTGACTATAAAAGCTTTTATTTGAGGGTAGAATTGGAAGTTTAAGTTAAATTGTTTCCAAATTTAGAAATGTATCACTTTTTTGGAACGGACCAAAAAAAAAATATGCTCACGTAAACTGGAACGGAGGGAGTAATAACTTAGTGATGTTGTTTACACAATCGTATAAAAAAAGTATAGCAAAATGTGGAGAACCTACACAAAAGTATGGTTTCTTAAGAACACAGAGTCATCTGTACTAGCATGAATCTCTTGGTTGTCCACTGTCCAAAAGTTATAAAAATAATTAAAGGCATACTCTAATTTGTACAAAGTCTTAATTTGAAGTAGTGCCATGTCCTGCCTAATCACCTCTCCCCAGTACTTCTTAGGCCTCGCTCTCCCCTTCCTCTGACCCGTCATGGTCAACCTCTCACACCTCTTAACCGGGACATTGGTGTCTCCTCTTCACATGCCCGGACCATCTCAATCTCGATTCTCGCAACTTGTCTTCTGCAGGAGCCACACCCACCTTGTCCCTAATAACTTCATTTCTAATCTTATCTCTCTTGGTGTACCCACACATCCATCTCAACATCCTCATTTCCGCCACTTTCATCTTCTGAACATGAGACTCCTTGACTGGCCAACACTCGACTCCATATAACATAGTCGGTCTAACTACCGCCTTGTAGAACTTGCCCTTAAATCGTGATGGTACATTCCTATCACGCAAAACACCAGATGCGAGTCACTATTTCATCCATCCCGCTCCAATACAATAACATCTTCGTCAATCTCACCATTACCTTGTATTACATACCCAAGGTATTTAGTACTCTCTCTCTTGGGGATGACTTGTGTATCAAGCTTCACTTCCTCTTCAGCTTCATGCGTCCCAACACTGAACTTGCACTCCAAATATTCTGTTTTCGTCCTACTCAACTTAAAACCTTTAGACTCTAGGGTTTGTCTCCACACCTCCAACCTAGCGTTAATCCCGAAATGCATCTTATCAATCAACACTATGTCTTCTGCAAATAACATACACCATGACACCTCCCCTTGAATGTGTCGCGTCAGTAAATCCATTGCCAGAGTGAATAAAAATGGGCTAAGAGCTGATCCCCGGCGCAACCCCATTACCACTGGAAAATAATCCGAGTCTCATCCCACAGTAAGAAAGAGAGCTCTCGTTTTCCTTTCTCTTTCGCACCCACACCTACATAAGTTTTAGGGGGCTATATTCCGAGCTCTACATCTACTTCATCTCCTTTTATATGTCCAGCTATTTGTCACATTCTCCCTTCATGTTGCTCATCTGTACCGCATGTCTATAAGTACCGCATGTCTATAAGGTCAAGTGTTGGTTTTCGAATCTCCACCGCTCATCATAATGCCTGGTCCTCGTTCCCAAATTTCCATTTGTCACTTGCCTAGTACTAGTAATGCTCTTTTGAAGTCCTTAACTCTTTTACTCTGCCCCCTCCAACAGCTAACAGCTAATAGTGGGTGTGACCACAACCTCTCTACCTTCACAAAGGTGGGGTAAGGTCTGCGTACACACTACCCTCCCCAGACTCCACGATGTGGGATAATACTGGGTATGTTGTTGTTCCACGAGAAGTTTATCTGAAGTTTTTCCAACTTTTCAGTTATACTTGTCTGTGTGAGTATGAGGAACATGTAATATGTTGCGATACTTGCTAGTGTACTCTTGATCAAGACTTAACCACTTTGGACAACTACCTTTTCTTTACCCCACTCGACTTGTCCTGTTCTTTCAATCACAACAATCTAAACTCTAGGTCCCTGTTTGATGCTCCTAGCAGTAGCCCTAATATAAATTGTTGGAAGTGCTTTTATCCTGTGGTTGAACACCTGCACTAATTGCTTAATGTTGTCCACCTCTCTCATTAGTAAAATCTCACACATCTTAAGATTGATTTTTCAGCCTCGAAATTACTTGGACCACATTAGGACCTATCTCGGGTAAGATAACTAGAGTATCTCAGCATTACAAAATTTAGTAATTTACAAATATCAGGGTATCATCTGCGAACAAGGGATAGCGTCTAACTTATCGTTACTTCTAACTCTTGCCGTAAAGCCCTTCAGAAGAACCTTCTGCCACCACTTTGTCCGTCATCTTGCTCTCTCCATCATCAGAATGAGCAAAAAGAGAGATAATGAGTCTCGGCCTCAACCTTCTGGAGCTGTCGAGAAAACCACACAGTCTCCCTTAGACCAGGACTCAGCAACTCACCTTCGATATACAGAACTTACCCATTTTCTCCACTGTTCTCCAAAACCATCTTCAACATCACAAAATCCTAGAAATTCTAATTCACGTGATAGTTGACTGTTTGAAGGTCTAATTTGAATAGGAAACCTGGTCCTCCCTCTTTTCTTCTAGTACTTATTCTAGAAAGTTTCTTCCCAATCAAGTTATCTGAAAATGCATTTCTCGGTGAAAATGGTAATGATATGTAGTTAATTATGTCTCGAAGTATTTCTTGCCCTTTAACTTTATAGCATTATTCCACGAGAGTTTTATGAATTGAGAGTTCCATATGAGATGTTGTGTTCAGCCTATTTCTTTTGTTATTATATCCATCGGTTTTTAGTTATGGGAGAAATGAGAAGACTGAATAATTATCTGTTTATCTTCCAGTCCTTTTTCTCTCTGATGAATGATGTCAAATTTGATTCAAGTTGCTAGTTTCTGATAACTTACTCTTCCTCAAGTTCCTATTTTGGATCATAACATGCAGCATGAGTACTTTACCTGAAAAATAAAATAAAAATAATAATTGCAGCATGAGTAATTACAGTTGAGTTATTTTCTGTGAAGTGGTAACAAAAATGTCAAACGTTATAGCTTATATATTAAGGTTGTTTTCTAGTTCAGGCCAGCAATATGTTAAATTATCTGACTATGTTCTCATAAATAATGGCATGGTTTTTGTATAATTGTGTCATATTTGCTGAAGCATTTTTAGCCATGCAGCCCAGAGTCTCTCAGATGGCCCACTGTGGGAAGATACAGGGTAGATGTTGCGTCATTTGAGTTGCTGGCATTGCCAGAGTTGCAGGTCGGTTGAGTTGTTCGGTAGGATTTTAGTCTCATAAGAGGGTCTCTGACATTGCTGTCCTTTGCTTTGAGCGATAACTTTGTTTGTGCCTCTTCTTTAATAGCTTATCTTGATTGTAAATTATAAACCGTTTAATATGTCTCATCTTTACTTTATCAAATAAATAAAAAACTTGTCTGATCTGTAGTACATTGTATTTTGCCATTTTGATGGTTCATAAATTTGTTAGGTAAGGGAAGATACTGATCTCTTCATCATCGACGAAGTTGGGAAGATGGAGCTCTACAGTTCCTCATTCTTTCCAGCTGTACTAAAGGTCCTGCAATCCAATATCCCACTCTTGGCTTCTATCCCCATTCCAAAAGCAGGCCGAGATATTCCTGGAGGTATTCCCTCTATCTGTATGTTGTGCTTTTATGTAGGTCTAAAACTTACTTTTGTTGCGATCACACCGGTAATTTGATATACCAAATCCAAATCAATCACATTGCTAGCCAAGTATCTATGTACTACAGATTCATATTCATAGAAGAAATATCTTCTACTTTAGAGTGGTATAAGGGCCAAATAGATTTTATGCAAGGGTTTAGAGTAACTAAAGGGGCAGCTCGCCAATAGTCCAAAAATAAAAATGCTAATCGAACTTCTTTGACCATTTACCTTCATTGAAGCCACAAACAAGAGATGAAAACTCTGAAATTATGTTTGCTAAATAATTCTGCCCATACATGGATGCAAGTACATAAGCTATCAACTTGACCATTCTCGGGCACTCTGCATATTCAACTTATGCCTCTTTTCTTGGTCATTTTTTCACAAATCTTATACATATTTTATTTTATTGTCTTTTATTCTTCGCTTTGACCTCTCTGTTTTCCACAAGTTGTTGGACTTATAAACCAATTTTCTTTTACTCATCGAGGAAAAAATAAACCAACATGGTTTTGGATTTTTGCAGTTGCGAGGATGAGAAATCATCCAGGAGCTAGAGTTTTTACACTCAGTGCAAATAACAGGGATGCTATGAGAGAACAGATATGTTCCGCCTTAGCAGATATGTTGCAAAAGCCTTAGATGATGCAGGGCATAATGTTCCAGCTAATGTTGCAAATGCTTCTTGCTGTTAAACAAACTCGAATCTGATAGTTAATACTTCCAGAAATTTACCTTCCCTATAGGTTGCTTAATCACAGTTTTGTCCTTTGGAGATGCACTATTCAAGAAGACAAGAATGGGAGAAGTGGAATGTTTCCCCTTCTCCCTCGGAACTCGGAAGGTCCAACTCTTTGAACGCCTCTTTGAACACCATAGTTTAGAATGCTCAGAACTGCTGCTGCAAGATAGAGAGGACTTGAAGACGAGAGGACAAATGGACAAACGGTGTTTTATGACTCTAACTACAACCATCTGCCTCTTCTCAAATTTCACTAATGTCACAATCTCAACTTTTTGCCTGAAGCTTCAATTTCTTTACTGTCTTTAGTATGGTACTGAAAGGCTGAAAGATGCTTACTAAATGACTATTCTTGTTTGTGGATTGTAATCGTGTGCCTACAGCTCTTCCGTGAACTTTGGAGTTGGGAAATCATTTGTAGATTATGATTGAGCTTTTAGTTCACGTTACCATTTCCTTTACATTCAATTTTTTGGGGGGCGAAAAAACAAGAAACCAATATTTTGAGGTGAAAGTGTGATGCCTCTTGTTGAAGTTTCTTTTTAGGATCACAGTGGAAGGGACCTAAAGTTTTTACATGCCATATTCAGGAGGATGTAGATAAATTTCCTTTTCACTTTGGTGCAAAACATCATAAGCAAATAGATAAATTTCCTTTTCACTGTCACAATGTGCTTTACATTAAAGCAATAAACTTCACCTTCCGCTAGAAAAAGGAAGCTAGAAACAAGCGCCACGAGCAGTAGCTTACACAAGATTTTGCATAAACAATGTTGTTACCATTCGTCTTGTAGGCAGGTTTAGATTTAGGACTACATTGGTTTTATTAATGTTTTATTTCATGTCTCATATTGATGTTTACGTTGTATTTATATATGATTTTTTTTCTTTTTATTGACGAAATGGTGTCGGGTGACACCTCTTACAAATGGGTGTATCTGCCACTAGTCAGATACCATTACGTTCATTGCCTTCAGTTGGGTTGGTAAGGATTCTTGAAAGTTTACTGTGAAAATAGCACGGTATAGCCAGTTTTCGGACTAGTCATTCAAAAATAGCCAGCGTTTACCAAGTCAATGAAAAATAGCCACTATTTTGCTGCAACAGAGACCGGTCCAGCATAATATATTGGAGTTCGGTGCACTTGTGTATGAACTCCAGCATATTATGCTGGACCGGTATACTTGCTGGAACTCCAGTATATTATTCTGGAGTTCTAGTGTACTTATGCTGGAACTCCAGCATAATATACTGGCGTATTTTCCGGGTTTTGAACAGTGTTTTCGCTCAGATTTATCTTTACATGAAAAATAACTAAATTTCGATTACTTTTAAAACTGGGATATTTTTGAATGACCAGATGTAAATCTGGCTATTTTTGAATTTCTCCCAAGTTTACTGGCTCAAGATATGGGCCTTGATCGTAAATAAGGATTTTCACACATAGCCGACCGACTTCATTATTTACTTTTCTTAGTCGCTATATATAGATTATACATGGCTATACACGTATTATAGATGAATTATACATATATTAAATACTTTTCGACTATTTTTAGTTTAAGAGGTTAGGCAGATAGCTATTTAGGTTAATTCTTGCTCTCCTAACGTTTGCTTAAAGGTAAATGGGCCAATTTGGATACCAAGTAGTACATGCTCATTGTAGATTGTAGTTCTAAATCTTAATTTTGCATACCACTTTAGATTGAAAAGAGAACCAATTAGAGGAGTACAAATAGGCATAGGATCAGAATAAATAGGAATATAAGTTGCATGGTCAGTTGATAGAAGTAGAACGTAGGTTGG